AAATCTCTGGGTGATACTGGTTGCATGCCTAAACGAAAATTTCTAAGTGACTGATTATGGGGCACATGAAAGAACGAAGTTCAGTAAAATGCATCAAGGCCCGTACCGTGCTGAAATTGGTCAGTGACCGAGACCGTGATAAAGATGTGTAAAAATGAGAAGGTCCATTTCATATCGCTGTTTCTATCTCTTACAGCAGACATTTCGCAAACTCCTCACTCGTTGTCCTCTGGCTGCTGATGGAAAAGATGTTCCTGGGGATAATTTCCTGCAGACTAGTGATTCAGTTTCAGCGTTTTCATGCTGAAAAATGAGTGAATAAAGTAGAGCTTCCCAGTTCTTTAACGTACAATGTACCTCGAATGTCGAACTACCGTCGACTCATTTCACACACTCCAACAAATCGTCACATGATTCGGCACATAATTCGTCGTTGCAGAAATTGAAGCTGGTAAAGTCGACTTCCGGTTTTGACAAGACGTAACCGATGGTTCACTGCCAGATGAGTGTAATATCACAATAGAGCTCACAAGGAGAAGTTTCCTCTCCTCTGTTTTGCAAGATCGCAGTGAACTAGGCGATGCGGAAGAACAACGTTCCGAAAAACAACGAAAGACTCGTCAGATGTTAGTGAAGCAGCTACTGGTAATCGATAGTACTTAGCGGCCTACGCCTGCTTAACATCACGCGATCGTATATACAACGTGGTTGTGGAACTATGTTTGAAGGTCAACCTCAACAGAACGAGGGACATGGAAAAGCGCATTTGAATGAAATATTTCGATACCAGCAATTCAAATTTCAATTATTTTGAATCCGTCTTGATTAAAAATGACGGGTATAATTCATAGCATCGTAGGGTAAATTCGAAATGCTAAATGAGTACATATCCACTATAAAACAACTCGTAATGAGGATCCAAATTCTTTGCTATTTTTTATTTCATTTAAACATTTGACTTGCCTGATGGATAACCTATTCAGCATAAGACGAACCAGTATATTAGATTAATTTGATTGCTTGACATTTGCAAAATGTGTTGGTTTATTTGTTCGTTTAAGTAAACGCTTTCCATTATTAGTACACACGAAACATTCATAAACGTTACTTCAACGTGCAATATTTTA